AGTGAAATAATGGTTGAGCAATCCTAATTGTAGTGCTGGTGTCAAAGACACGAGGGTGTACAGAAGACTTTCTTAGCACTTAAGGCCACTCACCCGCCTTCTCTCCACATCCCCCCTGCAGCTCTCCCTGTACCATCCCAGGCAACAAGAGAGGAGTGAGATGGCACAGTGAAGGCCACATGGATATGATTGTGGGGAGAAACAGAAAACCTCTGGAGAGGGAAATGGGGGAGAACACACAAGATGGAACCCCAGGGAGCTGGTTCAGGGTCACAGTGAGTATCCTGTAAAATGTATGGAATGTGCAGGAGAGAAAAGCCCCGGGGGAGTTTTGTTGGTCTCATGTAGAGATGCTGGTTTATTTCACTGGGGACAGTTTGTAATCTGTCCCTTTTACTAGCGGGAGTTAACAGTCTTGTTCATCTAAGGGCAGATTCAGAGAAGCAATGTAAAGGGAACAGGCTGACCGTGAGGAGAACGGAGGAGCCTGTCTCAAAGCAAAGATGGAAACTACTGACAAGGATATGGAGCAACTCCACATTGGAGGTCTCAGCTTGGCAAGCTGAGTGTGGGAGACGGAGGGTCGAGCCTCTGGAGACCTTGTCTGAGGGGCAAGCAGTGTCTGCACCGGGTAGGATCTCCTGGAAATTTATAAAAGGAAGATCATCACTGACACCTTGATTATGTGGAAGAGAGTTTGACTGGAGAGAAAGAGTATTTAGGAAATCCATATTACGCACACCCATAAGAAATCATGCCAGTGGTCCCTTCTTTACAAGCCCTTTCAGGCTCAGTAGAAGGCCGGAAAAGAACAGGAAAAGATTCGTCCTCCAGCCTAAATTCCCTGTTGTCTGTCCTCTCTCCCATCGCTTCTTTTGATCCTTAGATTCCTTATGGGATAAAGTATAACAGGACATGGCTAACGAACTCAATCCAGAGACATTGCAGTGTCCCCTTCACTCCAGTGGACGTAAGAGAGGATGCCGAAGCCAGACGCGTGGGCACAGGGAAGGGGGAGAGAGAGACTTGATTCAGCAGGGTCTGCTGGCTTCTGAAACTATTGCTGTTGCATTCAATCCCTGTAGTTCCACTTTGTGAAAAATGGGGCTCGATTCTTTGTCCAGGAAGCTAGCACTGCCTCTGCATTGATGGATGTCAGCTACAAGATTCGTGACGAGGAGAGCCGAAAGGTGTGTGTCGAGGGCGTTACGTGTACCTCATCCTGAGGAAGGAGTACAGGCCAGGGGCTGGTATTCGTCTTTGGAACTAGAGTTCCTGGTGCTTACCCCACCTCTTCTTGCTGTAGATACCTGTCTTTGTCAGGCCCTCCGCTGTTCCCTACTCTGTGCGGTATAAGTTGAAGCCAGAAGAAATGGAGCAGCTAAAGGTAATGCAGATGCAAGGCATGTTGTGTGCCAATGCTCAGACCCCCGTCCCCCTCGCCCCCGATTTCCCTGACACCACCACAGCCTCAGAGCGGCTCTCTCCATCTCTCACTCTGCAGCTGACTTTTATCAAACGATTTGATGTCTCCAAGCTAGCTCTTGACCTGCAGAGGCTCTACGTTGACCCAGGTATGGCTGACAGCGGTAATTCTAGGGCGGGTGAGGGCAGAGGGGTCTTCCTGGAGGGAGACTTAGGGATGGTAACGTGGGGAGGGGCAGGTGCTGGCCCCACACCC